TAATTCAAAGCGATTATGAGATATAATATAAATACTACTGGCTCGTCAGATTGTCCTATACGTGTTTGTTTGTATGTATTTCGAAACATATCGCAATCATGCATCGTTGAGGCCGCCATCAACAAATCTTTGTAGACAGATGAAATCGATTCTGACTGATACCCACCACCTATCTGACTTAGTGAGAATTTCCCCAATAAGCAGATATCAATAACTGAATTCGTTACGGCTAACCATATGGACAGCAGTTTGCAAACGGTTTCGCTGTCAACGAGTAATAAGTTGCTTCCTTGTTTCGTTGCGAGTGCGCATGTGATAATGTGTAAATCATCAGAATCAACGAGCGTTTATTTATGAACATGATGAATGAGTGAATATAAATTTTGAATAATGAATAAAATTTCTCGATTCGAGTCATTTCATTTGCCGTATTGTGGACATGTCTGCTGAATAATTGACAGGATGATTCATCCATCGCAAACTGCAAACAAACAGGCGATGGCGTGTGAAGTTGTTTCCGTTGGCCGAATGACGAGAGAGATGTTTTCAGAACAGAAAAAAAAGCGAAAGTTTTAACCGATCGGAAGAAAACGGGAAATGGAAAGTAAAAGGAACAGAACTTCAATTGGGAAGCAAAAAAAAAGAAGGAAGGAACAGAAATAGCTTCCATCACCATCAGTTTTGTGGTCGTAATCACGTCTCTGATAAGGATCCTAATAGGATTTCTAAACCTAAAACAATTACTCATCATTTTTTAGTTATTGTTATCAGCTTTTGATCAGTGATGTTGAATTAAACGACTGAATGGAATGAGTCACAGATTTGCTAATTTTCATTGCTTGCGATATAAATAAAGGGATAGAATAGTAATAGAGTTGCTGAGTCAGCTTTATGCGTTCAAATGCGACCAAAATATCCGACATATGTAAATTCACTATTAAAACCTCATGAATTTGTCTCGTTTTTATTCCACGCATCTGTTCCTCATTCGGATTGCATGTTCAAAATTCATGCCGTTGTTCGACAGTCCATGATAAATTAACACCAGTGATCACAACGCAGATTGTTCGCTGCTGTCCAATTCTTCATGAGACTGATGAGGTTCTTCCCTCATGTCATTGTTTATCTCTTAGAAAAGATGAAACTTTTTTCAGCAAACGAAACAATTCTATTATGCTATTCTTTCGCCAAGATTTTGTTAATCATGCGTTCGTATACGATTTTGTTTCTGTTTCTTCTGTTTCACTTTTCAAATATGAATTTAAACATTTAAACGAAAACAGAACTGAAAAAAAAACTGGAATATTTTTGCTTTCAATGAATTTGATCAAAATAATCAAATCGGACAAGCACAATCGTAGAAAACAAAACATTGATGATGAAGCAGATAAGACCGTGAGCAATCCTATTCTGTTGTATGTTATGTTGTGCGAATATTGGTTTTCTTTTCACTTCTTTAGAGTTTTGTAATGTTTCGTAATCATATCTATTGAACTCATAGCAGTCATGGCTTGAAGCAAGGGATGCAGGCAGGTATATAAATCATGCGCATTGCTTGACCGGCCGGCCGTACCAGATGACTAAGGAGCAAAAAAACGGATATTTAAAGCAAAACGCAAAAAAAACTAGTGAGAATATCAGATAAGCACCGAATCAGCAGTCTTCTCATGGCCAAACCGTGTATACATCCATCTATGCCTTCTTGACTGTTTGCTTGCTTATTGGAATATCTAGATGATACGGTGCCCTACTGATATAAATTTGGAGATAAGAACGTTGTTTGGTTGGCAAATTTCGCTTCAACGTTGTATTTTTTAACGTTCTGATACGTATTACTTGACGATGGAACAAATGCACTCATACAGCCATACAGAATCGATGGAGTAGAGTCGTGCTTTATGTTGAACAGAATCTTATCATAACATCTCGGCATATTTTGATAAGGCATTGTCCGTGATCAAAGAATTGGACTTATTATTATCAATACATGTGAAACACGTATGAAAAACAGCAGTAGCAGCATACTAAATGAGCAGAACAGTGCATGATTTTGAAGATTCGATGAGTGCTTTATTGGTTGATTTTATGAGAGTATGCGTCATTGTTTAATAAATATTCTGCATATGTGAGTTTTTCGATAACGTAGTGATATGATTGCTACTAGGCGAGTAGTTGTTGTTGTCGTTATAAGTGTTACTGTTTGATATGCGGCCAATGGTGCTAGAGTACACTGCTGAATGATTTCTGTGTCAGTTCTGATTCAATATTATTTGCGTTCAGTTTTATCAGTGGAATGTGATGGTTGATTCCGTTGTCATTAACCAATTTGCCAGATTACTGGGTATCACTCCACATTTAGCGATGCATTCAGCGATTTTACCTTCAGCGATTATTCCTTGCTTGCCTGCGTTTAGATCGTTTCAATACAGTGAAAATTTTTAAGGTTAAGTTTTTTTTGCATCTTCAGGTCAAATGTCCGACATGGAAGAGCAACAAAACTATGAACGTCTCGAGTACGTTGAAGGTAAAAACAGCCTTATTGTTAAGAAATGCTTCGTACATTTTACTATTTCAGAACTTTTTATCCACTAAAATAGACCTTTGCTCAAAGAAATCGCCTTGTTCATGTAAATTCCTAACGCTTACCACTTTATCATGAGGCATTCATGACTTCTTCACATCGTTTTATTTTGTAAAATACTACTTCATGATGTTAATCACGTTCCATTATCTTCGCTAGCTTTATGAATATTTGTCCTCTTGGACGCCGCAATTCGAATTCTAAATTGCTCCAGTGATATTCTATTCCCTGAAATTCCCTGAAAATTCCCAAAAAATATCTTGTGTCCGATATCGCAATGTTAAATGATATTAAATGAAATGAAATGCTGTTAAATGAAATCCTTTTTCGATTGAATGATGCAAATGTTCCCGTGATTACAGGTGAACAGAAAGCGTCTGACGTGGTACTCGAAGACGACCTGGACGCGCATCCTCATCGCCCGAGCTACACTGAACTAAGCCCTGGAGACGACCCAACTAGTGTTAGTGACCAATATTTTTCCATCATCAATTTATTTCTTATTTATAAATTTTCTTTGTAATCATCCTCATCATTAGCGATCGATTAGAAAACATCATTGTTTTGTCTGATGTTGATTAACACTCCGTTAATTGACCAATTTATTACCATATCGCATTCGTTCACCAAATTTCATAATGTCTGTGTATCCCTTCGATATGTTGTCTTCACAATCAGTTCAACTGATACTAGTCCTGGTGTCGTTTACAGACTGACTTGTACACGACCTATTCATCATCGCATACCAGCGCCCCTGGCCACGATAACGGTGAGCTAATCAGTGGCATTGGATCGAACTATCACTACGACCAGCACCAGTCGGCGCAGCTGCACGATGAGAACAGCCATGATAACAGCGGGCATACCGACGATTCGGGTTATCATTTCCATGAGAAAACGCCCCATGAAACCATCGAAAGTCAGCAGCATTTTGAACAAAATGAATCG